GAGGACAAGATCAACTGACATTCGAATGTAAATGTAAAATCTGCAGTGTGATAAATACAATAATTCACTGGAGATTTTACGCTGATAGTGAATGCTATGCCCTGTTGTCTGAGCCACGAAGTAGACCTGTCAGGTCTACGAACAGACAGATAGTCGTAGTTTTTGTTAATTTCTAAAATACTCCTTGAGCCAGCAAACACTGTTGCTCTTTTAATAGGATGCTACAATTTAAAGCAAACCTTGACACCTTTGACCATGACCTTGACCTTGTGTCTCTGTCCTCCTCTCAGCCCAGAGGTGCTCATTGTTTGCATCACAGTGACAGTAAAACAGCCATTGACCTACTGTCTTCTTGTGCTACTGGAGGGACGCCTCCATTGAAGGTTTACTGCTCTGAGCTCATTAGCGACCTGGCCCACCCAGGAGGGAGGGGCGGATAGGAGGAAGGTTGTTTCTGAAGTTGAACCTTTAATTTAAAGGTTTTTATTTGAAAGCAGGAGATAAGAAGTCCTCACCTAAAATCAGAACCACAGGTGAACTTTCTGGCTGTGACTAATGTCAGCAATTCGATGTTAAGCTGATTTTCTTTAGCTAGTCATGTCAGCCTTTAGGGTGGTGGAGCTGTGTCACTTAAAAACCTTAGATTTGGTGCTAGATTTCTGGAGCCATGGGCCTCTGACAACCATCCTCAAAAAGGACCTTGTACCCATGTTTAACATCACTCAGGCTCCCAAAATACGCTGTGCTATGTTATTACCCTACATGGACTCTCCTTCAGGTCAACAAGGTGCAAGCAGAATGTTTGGAAACGTGGACAAACCAGATCTGCGACCAGTAAAACTTGTCAAAATGATCATTCGTGTGGACCTTCCAGTCTTTAGAGTGTGAACATGGGCTAGGCATCCTTACATTCGAGGTATTTGAGGAGGCACACAGGCTGGTGTCTGTAGTGCTAATATCTAACCTGGATGACACCCAAGAATTTAATCTTTTTGTATGCTTTGTCAACCTAAGTCCCATTTACACAAGCACATCAGGCCGGAAAATTTCCAACTTTTTGTGAAAGGCCGCCACTGTGTGAATGCAGAAGGTATTAGCCAGCAAGAATGCAACACTTCATGCTCAGCCAGGTACTTTTTAGATACTTTTTATTGCTTGCTTTAGCTGAATTGTATTGTCCTCTGCTGTGTTTTTATTATGAAAAATGTCTAAAGTTTTATTCTAAGATGTGGAGAGCAGAGATCCCCAACCACAGGGCCCCATGGATCAATTAGTACCAGGCTGCCAAAAAAATAAATAAAAAATAACGATGATTACATTTTTTTTCTTTTCATCCATCCTCCAAGTATCTTATTTTGAAAGACCACCACTTCCGCCATTGCTTCACCTTCGCACATGTCATTTTCCTGCATCAGCAACACAAGCTAGCCCTTGCAAAAATGAGCCAGAGACAGAGTTCACTGGAGAGAGAAAGGGTTGATTTTGCATTATGGTGAGTTGATGTTAAAGTGTAATGAAAAGTGCCTATTATAAAATGTAATTGTTTCCAGATTACATACTATGTACTGTTTAAAATTTTTGTCATTGGAACCTCCACGCCCCTACCCGGTCCTTGGAAAAAGTTTCCTGCATGAAACTGGTCCCTGGTACAAAAAAGGTTGGGGACCACTGGTGTAGAGGACTAAAAACTGTGACCATTCAGAAGAAATTATAGTATTTTGCTGGTCCTAGTTATAAGCAATACACCTATTCTGGAGTAAATCTCTTAAAGCTTGTCTGGGGGTTGAGATATATATTTAGCTAATTGTCTAGCTTCACACCACGACAATATCAACCTTTCAGAGAATTATGGCATACTACACTATGTCCAAATTTACATATGTGTGAAGATGGTGTGTTTAGAGTTGTCCGTCTTTCATACAAGCAAACGGTACATCTTAGGAAAAAGTCTACTGGGAATGAGAGTAAAGCTAAATAAATGTTGGGGTCAAAGGTCAAAAAGATTTCAAAATATTTAGCTTGTTATGACATCAGGTCGAGTGACTATTTAAAGTATGAAATTAAGATTATCTGCCTTTTTCTACAACTACCTAAACTTTTACTGAACAGTGTCTCCAGCAATCGTCTGTAGCCCTGAAATAAATAACAGCACACTTCCACTGTAAGAATTTTAAAATTAAAAAGGATGCTTTAACGATAACATAGAAAGTGACACAAGCACCGAGTCAAAACTTTGTCCTGTCAGGTTTTCTCCAAATGGGAACTGTGTCCATTTATCCAGTCAAACCCAATAAGGTCAACTGGACTATAAGTGACTTACTGTGTGACTAACTATCCATTTTCTGCCCAGGAACTGATGTGAGAGGACAGAGGGACACTAACTTAAGAGAGAAAGATAAAAAGAAAGCGAAGGAGTGACCAGAGCTGGGGGCTGGAGAGATGAAGCAGCGGAGACAGTGAGGAAAAGTGAGAGAGAAGGAGAGCTAAAAAGATACGAACAGGGGGAATAAAAGAAAAGCGAGGAGCTTACGCAGTGAAAAGAGCACATTAGGGGCGACCTGCTGCGACAGTAGTGTGTGAAACGGTGAATAACTGCCTCCATTTAGACCAGTGTCCTGGTGGTGTGGTGCAAGGGGCCTCAGACGGACACATACACACACTCAAATACACCCCCCACAAAAAAATACATAAATAAAGCAAAAGAAACTCATTGAAAAGCATGTGTTCCTGCACAAAATGATATCTGACACACACACACACGCTCTCATCTGTCCCTCTCATTCACACATTTCTCCACATTGGCCGGATTAGGAACACTTTCTCTTGGGTGTGCTGGGCTGCCCCATGCACACAAAGGAACACTCGGGGACAGGATTAGTAGGCTTACAGCGGATTCACATATGTCCAGTTCAAGCAATTGGTATTCAAAGCTTTACACTTTCAAATGCCACCAAGAGAGAGCAAAGCCGAGCAGCGCTTTTTCTTTGCATTGGCAGCACCTTTATGAGAAGGGCTCTTTTGCTGGGCCAACAATGAGGCCGTGAATACACATTTTTACTGTTCTACCACGGCGATCTCACAGAGCAGGGAGAAGACGCGGAGACAGAATTTATTATTTGGATTTCAAGTTTTGTAGGTGAGTGTGAATGTGTGTGTGTGGACAGATCGAAGGGAAAGAACGGACAGATGGATGGATGGAGAGATGTAGATGTAGTGGTCAGAGGAAGAGTGCTTCAGCCACTTCTGCAGGTTATTGTTGGAGGCCCGATCCTCCACTCCACATCCACAAAACTAATCTGGAGGAGACTCTTCAGAGCTGAGAGAGCGCTCTCAGCGGCTCAATATAAACAAGACTGACTCAATTTAATGCTTTCTCTCCATATTTAAAACCAGCGCTTTAAGAGACCCCTCTGTTCACTTATTCCATCAGTAAAACAGGCTTTATTAAAGATTCATTTCTCTGTCAATTTCTTGCATTTTTTTTATCATTGAAGGAAACAGTTTATGGATGATTTTAATTTATATTTAAAACATATTTTGAGGAAGTTTAATTTGTTTAAACACATCTGTTGTTTGACATTAATAAATGTGTTTGTATTTATGTTTGTGTTTGACTCCAACTCTGATAGAGAGAGCTGTCAAGAATTACATTCAGTGTATTGTGAACATTTAATTTCTAGAATACAAATCAAAATAGAAATAGAAGTATTTCCTTTTTGACTTTAAGGAGGAAATAGTTCAGAATGAAATGCAGCCATTAGTGATGAAATATCCCACAATAATAATGGTAATAATAATAATAAAGGTAGTGGTACACGAGGTAATCATTCAGTGCTTTAAGTTTTATGGAGGTCCAGACCCTGACGCCCACATGCTGCCATATGGTCAGCAGAGCGCTGGGTGTCTGATCGGGGATGTTACCTCTGTCCCCCCGGAGGCCCAGCACCCTGCGGCCGCAGAATGGGAGAGTAATTTCCCTTCTCATTCCTGCTCATTCCCTCAGGCAACCAGAGCGCGACACTCTCTCTCGCCAAGTGTGACTGTCCGATTAAAAACTGAGGAAAAACAACTCTTTATTTTCATTTAATGTGCAAGAACACAACTAAGTCTATTTACTCTTCCTGGTGCATCCAGAAGACGACAGTGAAATCTCGGAAATCGAGACGTGTTTACAAGTTACACTCTCTGCGGCGCTGTGACATTTACTCCGTGCGTAAAATTGAGAGAGAGAGAAAAATGTCCAAAAAACTGACAAAGTTTCAGCCGCTTGAAAATATCAGTTGAAGATCTCTCTGAGTAATGACTAAATTGTGAATATATCTACCATAAAATACGTTTTATATTCTTTAAAAAACAACTGACCAGTTTGTCCCAGGAGGAGAAAGTTTCTGATCCAAGAGAAGAGGAAAAAGGAAGAAAGGAAAGATAAGAAAAAAAGGAGGACGATGGAGAAAAAAGAGGAGAAGAACAGAAGAGATAAGAAACAAAAAAGAGAGAAGAAGTAGAGGAGAAGAGAGGAGAGGCGCGCTGTGCCCCCCAACAGTGTCCTGACAATGGCAGTGAATGGTTGCGCACCGCGGTCACTGGGACAGTCAAAGCACACCGCCCCCTTTTCTAACGGGCACGTCATCCTCCTAACGAGGCGTTATGAATAGGAAAGCCGCTTTTGTCTGCCCGCGTGTATAAATACCATCATCAGTGTCCTCCTCACCGCAGAGACACACACAGACACTGAGAGAGAGAGAGAGAAAGTCACAGCCAGAGAGCGCAGCGGTGTGATAAGAGGAACTGAAGTGTGGGATAGGAGGCTTCCACACAACATCAGGTGACCCGAGTGACTACAGAAGGAGTGAGACACAGAGAGAGGGGGAGAAAAGAGAGAGAGAGAGAGGGAGGGAGAAAGTGAAAGAGAGAGAAAGTGAAGTGAGAGAGAGAGTGAGAGTGAGGGAGGAAGCCAGCAGCGACCTCCTACCCAACAACCTCGGAAGCAAACCCATAAAATGAATTCAGACTCCAGCCCGAGCAGCAGAGCCTCTTCCCCGGACATGGACGGCATGTCTCTCCGTGACCACCACCATCCTCATCACCACCACCACCACAGCCACCACGTCGGATCCTCCGTGTCTTCCTCCACGCAGAGCGGCGATCAGCACCGCCAGAAGATGACCGGAGGAGAGCACGTCCTGCGCTCTGGAGACAGCAAGTCCTCGTCCGTGGAGAGCAGCAAGTACAAATTGAAGAAACAAGTCACCGAGGAGGAAATGTACCACCTCCGGCTCAAGATCAACGGCCGGGAGCGAAAGCGCATGCACGACCTCAACCTGGCCATGGACGGCCTGCGCGAGGTGATGCCCTACGCGCACGGGCCCTCGGTAAGGAAGTTGTCAAAGATCGCCACGCTGCTTCTGGCCAGGAACTACATCCTGATGCTCACGAGCTCCTTGGATGAGATGAAGCGGCTGGTTGGGGAGATATACGGCGGACAGCACTCGGCTTTCCACTGCGGCACCGTGACTCACGCCACGGCCGGCCCCGGAGGGCACTCCGGCGGTCCTGCTGCGGCTGCAGCCGCCGCAGCCGCCGCCGCCGCGCACCAGGTACACCCCCTCCTCGGCAGCGCGTTAACCTCTTCCACATCATCCACCCTCACGAGCGCGCTGCCGGGACTCACGTCGATCCGGGCACCCCACTCCCTGATGAAGGGCTCCCCTGCTGCGCCCCCGGCCCTGCAGCTGGGCTCCGGCTTCCAGCACTGGGCCGGACTGCCGTGTCCCTGCACCATCTGTCAGGTGCCCCCGCCTCCGCATATCCCCATCACCTCCACCGGCCTCACGAGACTCACTGGGGATGGCAAGGACGGGCTGAAATGATGCCCACAGACACGCAGAGACTGAAATGTGATGCTGATTGTATATAAATGATTCAGGGCATGAGGGTGGACTCGGCCTCACCTGTGCATGCTGGTGTTCTGTCTGTTTTCTTGTTTGGCGTATGAGAAAAAAAAATGTTATCTCCCTCCTTGTAACAAGGACTTTAAAGACTGCTGATGAAGGTGAAAAGTTAAAGTTGTGTGTCATGCAACCAGCTGCCACGAGCCTTCTGTGTGTGACTGAGTTTCAGTTTTACTGTAAAATGTGAAAGGTGGAGGAGGCTGCATGAACATTTGGTTTTTATTCGACTTCTTTTTTTATTTTGCAGGCGTCATTTTGTGAAAACGAAGAATGCTCTGTGCCTTGTACCAAGGATTTTAAACTTGAGTTCTAGTCAACATGAATATCTGACATTTATGTGTTGGACTAAAATGATTCTGCTGCCACTGCCTACATTTGTTTATTTGTTTGGGTTATTATTATTATTATTTGGAGTGTGTCTCGCTGCTTGTCCATTTGTGCTTTTATTTTTTTATTATTTGTATCATATATATTTTGTTTTTGCATGATGGTAGCTTCAATAATCGCAGCATGATTGTTTTTTGCTGTGACTTTGTTATGCCCAGAGACCCTGTGTCTTTATTTTTGTACATTGTTGATGAAATATTTATTATCGCCCAGCGTCCCTGGATGAAATTTCAATAAAACTGAGATTATGGATCAGAAACACAGACCTCAGACCTTTTATTTGCAAACACTCTCAAAACACTCTAAACATATAGAAAATGTGGTTAAATTTTTTGTTGAATACCAAAAGTGTGATTTTATTCGACGATCACTTCTCAGAAATAGTGTTTTTTTATGGTTGCTCTAAGGTTCAGGAAATTAAACCCTTTAAACAATCTTTGATTTAAACGAGAGCATTTTTAATTATTTTGCATTTTTAGTATTGAAAATATTAAAATACATATTTGTTTTACACATTTTCTAAAAGAATAACATAAGGCCTAAAATGAGCAACAAGCCACCTGTGCGTTTTTGTGTCCAGTCTTTATTTAACCACTGGACCATTTTAAGTAAACACAGATATTTGAGACGAAATGATGAAAAATAAAAACAAATTTTACATCTAAAGGAAGAAAATAAAGATGTTTTTCCCACACCACTTTCACTTTTAAATGCCCTCACGTCGAATTAAAAGGCTTTAGCTGAATGTACCTGCAACATTTGGAGGATTTGGTTCGTCTTTCTATCATTATCCATCATTATTAACACTATTTTACGCAATTTTAAAATAAAGTGAGAGCACTCTTTAATATTGTGAATTTTACATTAAATTTCCCAGTTTAAAAATCTAATTTCTGAGCCTCATTTTGCATCTTTTCCCCTTTTCCCCTCCTGCTCCACCTCCATGCAGACCCCCTTGTTGCAGCAGTAATGATGAGTTGAAACAGCCAGAGTAAGGTTGCATTTGTTTAACATTTCCGAGCAGGCAGCACAACTGTTAAAAAGGAGGATGAAATGAAGGAGTGGGTCTGTAGCCCTTAATGGAGCCCGGCTGAATTGTTCGCTGCAGCAGCCAGAGAAGTGATCCTCCTCCGGGAGCGCAGAGCAGTTTGTCCGCCGGGGTCCCATGGGTGTTCCTCCGTCTCATCTCTGCAGCGACAGAATGTATGTTTGTGCAGATTACAAGTTAATTGTTCATGGGGGACCAAGAGGAGAAAATCACATCACAGAAAAGGCGTCGGGATTACAGGCAACTAAATGCAGAAGATTATACATTCAGACCCCCTCCTCGGCCTCACCGAATGCAAATGAGTGGATTAAAAAAATAAAGAAAGACAGACAGAGGGGAAAAAAAAGAAAGAAAAGAGAAAGAAGAAGAAGGCCTTTTGTAACTTATTCGGAGGGAAGAAAACCAAAGTTCTGTGTCTAAGTTTGGAAAGAGTGAAAGAGTTCATTTTATACTTCGTTTTTTTGTCTTTAGGAATGAGTCGAGCCTTTCTGTCCCTCGCAGGCTGCCAGATGGGATGTAAATAGCTGGGTAGCTGCAGTGGCCTTTTAACCACACAACACTGAGGAGGATGTTGTCAAGGGAAGCTGGCGGTTTGCGAGTTAATAGTCATGAGTTGGGGTAATTACTTAAGGTTTATTATGCTCTGCTTTCAAAGGAAATGGACTCTTCAATGGGCCGAGAAATACTTCTTAATTCTGGCTAATTAGGAGCCGAGCAAAGCACAGACAACTGCTGCTGCTGCTGCCATCCAGCTCTGTTACATTCAGAGGGGATCAGTTGTAAGTAAGCCACGAAATGATGCACAAAAACAATCATGCACATGCAAATAACATGCACAAAACAAACGGCAGTTTCATGTAAAAGAGATACATGCAAATGAAAGCTTTTCTCAGTTTTATTCAAGGAGTGGGAATCCAGCTGATGTGATGAATACAGTGATGTTTATGACTGAGTTTGAACATTTCTCTTCTACACTTCAGCTTGTATAAAAAGACATCGACCATTTAGACTTTGGGTGTAAGGCTTATCCTCCTGGTAGGATTCATTAAAGTGATCCTCATTAAATTTATCCCTTTACCTCATCATGTAAATCCCACCAAGATCCCTCTGTTAAGGCCCAACATACACAGAAAGTTGTAAGAAATAAAAGCTAAGGTGAGAAAATAATTAAGATTGAAATGTTGACCAGAGAAGATGCAGTAAGGAGGTGAAACATGCAAAAATATTCTGCTTTTTTACACACGTTTCTGCAACTTTTAATTCTCTTAACATCAGAATTTAATGTTAATGTTAAATTTCCCTTCAGGGAGTAATAAAGTTCTTATTCTTATTCTTTTTTTGCACCTTTTTTGCGTATTTTGTTTAAGAAAACACAGAAGCATCAAAACCTCAGATACATAAATGCAAAATGTAGATGAATAAAAATAAAAAAATTGATTGCCATTGCAAAAAAAACAAGAAAATTATTTTTGATGTGAAATGCAGAAGTCAAGTAGCACAATAGAGCTTCACTGAATTTGGGTTTACAAAAAGTGTCAGAGGTTGGCCATTCAGAGGAAGCCTAACCTCTGGAAATCTGTCTCATCTCTGTTTTAAAATGACATAAAACAGAGTCATAAATAATGGAGTATTTAAATCAGACTGTCAGACAGATGTGAGATTTATACCCTCTGTGTTTTTTGGGGTTTTCAGAGCGGCTCAGCGATGACTGAATGGACTCGTGGCCATCAGCTCCTCCTTTCATGTAGCTTGACAAACGATTGGTCCTTGAAAGAGCACACACCTGTTACTGGGAGCCACTCGAGGTTTATCACTTAAAGCAACACTGCTTTGTTAACACAGACACACACACATTCACACACACATAGGCCTGTGTTTTACTCCTGGGCACAGATGCTAACAAGACAAACAAATGCTGTCAGCCTGTTACTGAGCTGCCTCTTCCAAATCCATTTGAATGAGGACAAGTCCAGAATGAGTCAGATTTTCCTCACTATGATAAATAAAACAAGTGTACACAGGCTTAAAATGTTTCAGGGAAACTGACAATAAAAAAATGATGATCATTTTATTTGAATCTAAGCAGAGGAGGCCATGTTTGTTTGAGGGAATCAGAGACAACAACGGGATGCTAAATTAATATTTCCTTTAACTCTGTACTCATTTGTTCATCATCTTGGTCTATAGAAGTTGGGTTTTGGTGTTTCTATTTTTATTAGTGCTGCTCTTCTTTCAGTCATTTTTGTCCATAAATTAAATACAATAATTATTTAAAACACACACACTCAGATTCAGGAAATGTGCTTAAAAAGATGCATGTTTCAGTCAAGCATATAAAAACAGAAGCATAAAAGGCCATTCAAAGTCCATAGTCTGTGTTAATGCCTCTGTTTGTGGTTGTGTGAAGCCTCGAGAGTGTGTGACCTGCTAATGTGTGTGTGTGTGTGTATGCGTGGTCAGTGAGCGGCTGCAGGGCTGCAGCCTTAGGGCAGCAATTGAAAATAAATTTCAGTTGAATAAGGGGCAGCGAACGCATCAGGCGAGCTGCTGCTGCTAGAACAAAAGCAGTTGAGGGGATAAGTTATTGAGCGCGCTGACAGCCTGAACGAGGCTGATTATAACAGCCTGGTCATGCTCTGTGTGTGTGATTGTGTGTGTGTCATAGTCATAGTTAGTGAGGCAGGTGCAGAGGCCATCCCCTCTGTGTGTATGTGTGTGTGTGTGTTTCTGCCCTCGGGGAAGCCTCGGGGCCCTCTGCCCTCCTGTCCTCAGCTGATTCCACAGACTAATGTTTAACCCATACTGCCAAAACAGAAAGCATATTTCCATCATAAGAGCGCTTTGCCATAGCCATTAGCGACTGGGCTCATTTGCATGTTAATTGTGCAGTTAGAGAGGTGGTGTTGACACTTCTCTTTGTCCACGCAGGGTCGCAGGGAAGTGAGAGGATGGGGCTGCAGATTGACATCCATGTGTGTTATTGTTGCAGGCTGGTGCGTCAGCTGTTGTGGTTTGGATTTTGAAACACAATAGAAAACAGATAAAGTTAATTTAATAAGGTGCTATCATCCACACTGTCAGATTCAAATAAAGCTCTCAGCTGTGAAACTTTTATTGTTGCGCATCATGAAAGTAAATTCAAGTCATTATGTGAAAAATATGTAAAGTGGTGAAAACTCAAGTACCTTTTTCTACCAGCATCTAGTTTTATAACTGGGTGCGGCTTTTACCTTGTGTTTCACCGTCAGACGTAAATGTCTCACTTTCTAACCTGCTTTCTTACATGGCAGCTGTAGCTTCGAAGATTCAAATTCAACTTGAAATTCTGCATTTAAAAAGTAATCAGAAAGATCTACTCTAAGATAAATCACTTAGTAGAGGATACTGATAGTCCTTGATATAATTGAAGTGAAGTTACAGTGTTTTAATGATGCTCAGTGGGGTTGAGCTTAATTCATTTCAGCTAATAAATTAACTATCTGAT